AAATATGGAGAACAAACAGGGTTACTGGAGGGGTGCTGGGAGGGGGGATGGGCTAAATGGGTAAGGGGCAGTAAGGAATCTACTCCTGAAATCATTGTTGCACTGTATGCTAACTAATTTGGATGTAAATTTAAAAAAATAAAAAATAAAATAAAAAAAAAATGTCCTTCAGTAATGTCTTGGCTAAATAAAGCATGGGCTACCCACTCATTAGAATATTGTGTAATTTTAGGATACTAAGAACGAGAGTGCAAGTATATTTTTGTTCAAGTGTAAAGCTTTGTCCTGTTTCTCAGTGCATATGAAAGTTATGTTTATAGTATATTGTAGTCTGTTCAAAGTGTGCAATAGCATTTTGTGTGAGAAACAATGTATATAACCTAATTTAAAATTTTGTTGCTAAATAATGCTGTCATCTGAGCTTTCAGGGACTTGTGATCAGTGGTCACAGATCACCATAACATATATAATAATGATGACGAAAAAGGTTTAAATCCTGTGAGCATTACCAAAATGTCACACAGAGATGCAAAGTGAGCAAATGCTGTTGGACAAGGTGGTGCTGATCGATTTGCTGATTGATACAGTTGCCACTACCTCTCATTTTGTAAAAGAATGCAATTATCTGCGAAGTGCAATAGAGTGAAGCACAGTAAAATGAGGCATGCCTCAATTTGCCTTTTGAGATCTGCGTATTTATTTCACTTAGCACAATGCCCTCCGGGTTCGTCCGTGGTGTAGCATGTGACAGGAAGTCCGTCCTTTTTGAGGCCAAATGATATTCCATTACGTGTTTACCCATCAGTGGACACTTGGGTTTCTCCCGCCTTTTGGCTACGAACGTGGGTGTGTAAATGTCTTTTTGTGACTGCTCTCAGTTCTCTTTGGAATATACCCAGAAGTGGAATTGTTGGATCCAATGGGAGTTTTATTTCTGAGTGTTTGAGGAACTGCCATACTGTTTTCCACAGGACTGCAGTATTTCACCTTCCCACCAACAGCTCACAGTGGTTCCAGTTTCTCCACATGCTTGCCAACAGTTGTTATTTTTTGTTGTTTCTGTTCCTGATAGTAGCTGTCCCAGTGGATGTGAGGTGTGTGGTTTCTTGATCAGAGCTGTATTTTAACTGCTTGCACAATCTAGCCTTCTGATGGATGTATCGGGATAAGGGTGTGAGACTTGGAGGTGCCTGCCTTTGGTTAGGTTTGTCATAGGGAAGAACTGACTTACTGGCTTGAGTGCGGTGAGAAGATATATGTGTGTATACACACACACACACACACACACCAATCTTCCGTAAAATTTTGAGAGGTGATGGGAAAACAATTTATTTGACTTTAAGTGAGAATTGACGTGAGAATGACTTTTCATTTGGAACCTAGTAGCATTGTGGACGTAAAGGAAAGGAAAGAATAACTCCTTGATCTTTTGAATTTTAGATGATGGGATTATCGTTGTGGAAATAAATAAATTGCTGCCTGGCCAGGCAGCATTGGAAATATGGGTACTATTATGGGTGAGGAAACAGGTCTGGAAACTTGTTTTTTTTTTTTTTTTTTTTTTTTTTTTTTTTTTTTTTTTAAATTTTTTTTTTTTCAACGTTTATTTATTTTTGGGACAGAGAGAGACAGAGCATGAACGGGGGAGGGGCAGAGAGAGAGGGAGACACAGAATCGGAAACAGGCTCCAGGCTCTGAGCCATCAGCCCAGAGCCTGATGCGGGGCTCGAACTCACGGACCGCGAGATCGTGACCTGGCTGAAGTCGGACGCCTAACCGACTGCGCCACCCAGGCGCCCCTGGAAACTTGTTTTTGTGAGAGCCGGTGGGAGAGATTTCATAGTATTTATCTTTGAAACATTTATTTCCTTTAGAGAAAATAATCTGATAAATTTTTCCTTCTTGATTTTTTACAGCTCTTGCAAGCTTAGGATATGAAAAGAACTGTGTGTTATTCAATTGTGCAGCGTTAGCTAGCCAGATTGCAGCAGAACAGAACCTGGATAATGATGAAGGATTGAAAGTCGCTGCTAAGCATTACCAGGTATGCAGAACAGTAACCACATAATCAACACTAACTTGGATTAAATTGCAAATAACTTGTACTTAGGCTTATAGATGTCTCTTTATACCCAGATACGTTCTTGAAAAGTAATGTACTTTTTAATGAATTGATTCACACTTTTGAAATCCTTAAACTGTTTACCTATAGACCAGCTCTATTTTTCCTCACTGTTGTATACCTAGCACCTAGGACAGTGCCTGGCACATAATAAAGGCTCAATAAATGTTGGGAGAACAAATGATTGAATGTTTGAGATGAAGTTCTTGGTTAAATCCCTTTTAAATAATTGATCTCATTAAAAAATTTTGTACAGTTGACCCTTGAACAGCGTGGGGGTTAGGGGTGGTGACCCCTTGCATAGTCAAAAATACACTGTAACATTTGACTCCCCTGGAACGTAACTAGTAATAGCCCACTGTTGACTGGATGCCTTACTGATAACATAAACAGTTGAATAACATGTATTGTCTGTGGGCGCCTGGGTGGCTCAGTCAGTTAAGCATCTAACTCATGATTTTGGCTCAGGTCATGATCTCAAGGTTCGTGAGATCAGGCCCTGTGTTGGGCTCTGCGCTGACAGCATGGAGCCTGCTTGGGATTCTCTCTCTCTCTCTCTCTCTCTCTCTCTCTCTCTCTCTCTCTTTCTTTCTCTCTCTCTCTCTCTCTGCCCCTCCCCTGCTCACACTTTCTCTCTCTCTCTCTCTCAAAATAAATACACTTAAAAAATTAAAAAAACCTGTATTGTGTACGTTTTATGTATTATATATTGTATTCTTACAGTAAATATGTAAGAGAAAATACTTCTACAGTACTGTGCTGTATTTATTGAAAAAAAAATCCATGTATAAGTGGATCTGCGCAGTTCAAACCTCTGTTGTTCAAGGGTCAGATGTACGTTATTTAAATATATTTTTTCTTAAGAGACACAGCTGATATTTTACCATTGTCACAAAAGTTAAGACCTCTTAGTAAGGAAATTTTAACTCTGGCTTGTGGAGAGGTCATATTTAAATGTGGTCAGATATGTCATGTTCTCAAGTTAGCTAAATTTAGATTTTGGGTACTATCACTAATATGGCATATTATTTGGTGGCAGTGTATTATTTACTCAGCTTTTCTTTTTCTTTTTTTTTTTTTAATTTTTTTTTTTAACGTTTATTTATTTTTGAGACAGAGAGAGACAGAGCATGAACGGGGGAGGGTCAGAGAGAGAGGGAGACACAGAATCCAAAACAGGCTTCAGGCTCTGAGCGGGTCAGCACAGAGCCCAACGCGGGGCTCGAACTCACGGACTGCGAGATCATGACCTGAGCCGAAGTCGGCCGCTTAACCGACTGAGCCACCCAGGCGCCCCTATTTTTCTTTTAACGTAAAGAATAAATGATTGCTGTTGAATGATCTAGTTCATGCTTTAGATTGTGTTATAATTTACAGATGTGCTCACATACAGTATTTGACTCTCAGATGAACCTCGTGATGCATGTTGTATGTGTAATGCCACCCCATTTTACACACAAGGAGACTCAAAGGCCAGCGTGTTAATTAAGTGGTCCGTTGAGGTTTCAGGTTCTGATTCCAAATTTTATGGAATTCCAAAGGTGCTTCCTGTCTTCCATGGCTGTGGAATTTGCTTGTCCCAGAGGTGGAGTCTGATTTTTCCTGTTGTTTCAGTTTACAAGTGAGATTAAGAATGCTCTTCTAAGAAAGTGAGAGGAAGATGCATTTTAAGCAAACAACGCTCCAAATTGCGGCTTGCCGTGCAGTTTTCAGTGGGCATGGATGACAGACATACTTTTCTTTTTGAGCCTCTAAAGGGCCAATATTTTAAAATGTGAAAATGAAGTCAACTTTACTTTTCTGTTAACTGTAACTCAGCTAATTGGCATGTGATAATAAATTCCATTCCGTGAGTCGCCTTTGCGATTCACAGCAGGTCACCTAGTGTGATGGAAAGGGGGTGGTGATATCAGAAGACTTAGATAGGCTTGTCTAGGCTCTTTGCCACCAGGAAGCTGTGTACCCTTGGACGTGTTCTTTAATGACCTTTGTCGGCCTCTCGTTCCAGATTTGTGACAGAGGCTGGGTCCCTTGCTGTTCTGGTCTGTGATTCTCTTAGTGTATTTAAGCAAGGTCAGCTCGTTGCTCCTTGCAGATACTCTGGTTTCATGATTCCTCATGACTGCAGAAAACATGATGTTCACTTGTAGTACATAATCTTCAGTAATCTCTACGCAGCTCCTCCATATAACCCACATCTTTTAATCCCAGACGGATTTCTTTCTTTTTCCCAGGATCATGTGTTCCATAAAAGCAGTTATTTTGGGTGAACCTCAGCAAAATATAATTCGGAATAAAAAAATCTGATGGGGATCATTTCACCAGGGACCTTTGAAAACCAAATAGAAATCATTATCAGTGGACAGTAAATGCTGTTCCTCAGATCACCTGTGCTATTTGAGGTTTCCCCTAAGTACAGCGTGTTTAATTGTGGGACAGATGGAATTGTTTGGGACCAAAGCAAGATCGTTTCGGTACTAAAAGGTCCTTAATACTATTTTATCCCGACCTCTATTCTCATATTAGTCTTGGGGAAATATATCTAAAAATAAGTTTAATTTGTCCCATGAAGTTGCTGTATGTTTTGCTGCAATTTACTCTTAATCTTAGTTAAATCTGTTCCTGTATAGTATTTTGGAAAAATACCCTTATTGTCTGTAGGTCATATATTTAGATCTGTAACAATATAAAAATTTAAATATAGTAACTGTTCAACTGAATTAACATTTGAAATGATTTGTGTGTAACAGTAGAAAGTTAAGTCTTGCTGAGTTTACATAGATTTTAAAGAAGTTCTTTTTCTCCCCCTCTAGTTTGCTAGTGGTGCCTTTTTACATATTAAAGAGACAGTTTTATCTGCCTTAAGTCGAGAGCCTACGGTGGACCTGTCTCCAGATACTGTTGGGACCCTCAGTCTTATTATGCTGGCACAGGCCCAAGAAGTCTTTTTTTTAAAAGCCACAAGAGGTAATTCCAGTTTTTTCTCTATTCTGTTACATGTGAAGAGAAGCGATCAGCTTTTAAAATAGGAAGACAAGTGTACAAACTTGTGATCTCAGAGTTCATACTAAGTTATGATGTGTCGGATTATTTTATATATATTTTTTAATTACAATGGCCAATGTCATATTTTATTCCAGATAAAATGAAAGATGCCATCATAGCCAAATTGGCTAATCAGGCCGCAGATTACTTTGGTGATGCTTTTAAACAGTGTCAGTACAAAGATACTCTTCCCAAGGTCAGTTATTGTTTTTGCAAATACTTGGTTATTTTGCATGTGGAAATACTTAGAGGTTTTTGTATAGAAGAAAAACGTTGGAAATTATGTTTTATAAAAAAGAAACTTGAAGTTTTAGGAGAGGCATTTGAAGAATATGTTCGTAGAAATAATTTTTTATTTAAGAAGCATGAAAAATTCTTTTGTATTTAAGGGATGCCTTTGTCTCTACTCTTTACTAAACTTGTTTTTCCAAAATTCTTTCTGGAAATTGTTGAGCCTCTGTCTCCAGTAATTTTGTTACATCAAGGCATTGTGTAATTCTGATTCATTGGTGATCTGCTACAAGCATGAATACTTGAGCATGTTGATTATTTGCACTTTTAATTATTGTCCTGTTTTCTTAAAGATGAGTCTTAAAGCACAAAACAGACATAAAGCAAAAGGAAAAGAAAGCAAATTCATCCAGGATTTTGATTAGAATTAAGTTTTGCCAACAGAGATAGAAAATTGGGCTGCTCTTGTACAGCTAAGGAAAACAACCACCTACCTGCTGCCGCATATCAGAGAAAATATTAATTGTTTTAATGTAAGCTTTTCTGAAGTGGCATTTGAAAAGACTAGTCAGTGATGGTCATCCGCAAAGCATATGATTAGACTAACGCGTAAACTCAGAATGATTTCAAAGGAAACTTACAGATTGAGGGAAATGTAGTGCGTTTCAACTACTCTTTCAGAAATGTTCAGGTAATTAGTTTTGTCTGTATGATAATAGCATATGGTTTTTGTTACATGATATTTTCTAGGAGAATTTATTGATTTATTTTATTTTTTCAAAGTTTATTTAAGTCATCTCTACACCCACCATGGGGCTGGAACTCACCACCCCGAGATGAAGAGTCGCGTGCTCTTCTGACTGAGCCAGCCAGGCGCCCTGAATTTATTGATTTAGAAGTCATTCAGGAAGCCTTGTAAATTATGAAATTGCAGACAGTTTCGTGGTGAAGTAAAAAAGCATAAATATATCAACGGCACACCCTAGTTTAGTCAGAGAATTAGGAATTGATGTGAGGGAATTGCTGGAGATTTAAAATACACCAAGAGGTTACTAGAAAGTTGCCCAGGACTCTTGGATGTTCATACTGTTTCTCCTGAAAAGAGCCTTGGGATCTTCTCTCACCTTGTTTTCATCTGAAAGACTTCACGTTCAGCTGCACAGTGTCCCGTAACATCCTGTTGGGCCATTAGTTCAGTCGTGTCACCGAGAGAAGAATGTCACCTTCAAAGACTTGGAAACTCCCTCTGCAGCATTCCTGGTATTCCTGGAGAGTCTCCGGTTAAAACGAAGCTGCTCCAGCCTTACCTTGAGAACTGACCTGAGTACAGTTTGAGATTTAGATGTCTTTTGGCCGTTTGACTAATAAAGCTCATAAGGTATTTTCATATTCTGGTTGTAAAACTGGAATATCTGCAAGTAGTGATCCAGGAAGCTAGGAAGTTACTCCCTGGGAGACAGGAAAGCATACCAGGTAGTAATTCAGTGTTTGAGTCTTTCCTATGTTTGTCTGGACAGTGATCACCTAGTTTAATTCTTGGATTTCATGTGGCACGTACTCCTAAAGACAGTGAGGTTGCAGGCTGCGATTTGCCATTTTGGAAGAGCATCTACCGACATAAGTGCTTCTTGGTTCATACGTTTGGATCTTTTAAAATTAATTTTGACTGGAATCTTCAAAACAAATTAGGGCAAAGTAACACTTTATCGTATTAGATATTAACTTAGTGTGTTTGTCTGTTTGCTATGTGTTTTTGAGTATGTAATCTGAAATGTTAGTGTTTATACTAAATAGTCTTTCTATGGCTAGAAATCATCTTTATTAAAAAGTCTCTTAGATATGAATTTAAGTGGGAACTTAATTTACTGTCTTTTGTCTTTTAAAAACATGATGAAACAGTCAGCTATAGAGCATTTTCATTAGTATATGTGAGTAATGGTGGTTTAGTTAACTCTAAGGGCTGGGTAAGGACTCCTAAGAAAGCTTCTAAAGCCTCGTGCTTGGTATTCCTCTGTGAATGTCTGTTTTCCTTCTCTTCCTAATGCATGCTTTCCTTTCTTCTTTGTAAACAAAATGTTGACTTCATGGCTTGATTGAAGACCTTATAAAAACTTAAATTGGCTTCACTTAACAGTGCAAAAAAACCCAAAAACAAAACCCCTTAATTTTAATTGGAAGAAAAAAATTGAATTCGTTGACTTCAGTTCCTGCAAAATCATGTCGTCTTCTCTGTTTACACCTAATGACTAACCTGTCTCTAAACCATTAATGGGGTGATTTCTAATTTCTGTCTCCTTTTCCTTTTTCTTCCTGCATCCCGTGTTGTCTGTGGTGGTTTGTGTGGTTGGACTCTCCCCTGGTCAGTATTTTTATTTCCAGGAGGTGTTCCCTGTCTTGGCTGCAAAGCACTGTATCATGCAGGCCAATGCTGAGTACCACCAGTCTATCCTGGCAAAACAGCAGAAGAAATTTGGAGAAGAGATTGCAAGGTTACAGGTGAGTTTCTTGGAAATAAATACTCGAGTAACTTGGCTCTCTCTTTTTTTCCTTAGTGAGATTCCCAGGTTTGTTCATAAAAACCTTTTCTACTCATTGCCCCTATCAGCAGAGAAAAGTGATTGTTTTTATCCTTAAGTTTTACGTGCTGGGTGCTTTTTGAAGTCTTATGTTGTATCTAAAAAATTATGTAAGATTTTCATTCAGTTCTCTTATTTATCTGTTTTTTAAATATTTATTTACTTTGAGAGAGAGCGTGTGAGCACACATGCGAGCAGGGGAGGGACAGAGAGAGAGGGAGGAAGAGAATCCCAAGCAGGATACGCACTGTCAGCACAGAGCCCGATGCGGGCCTCGATCCCACGAACTGTGAGATTATGACCTGACCTGAAATCAAGAGTCAGACGCTTAACCGACTGAGCCACTCAGGTGCTCCTCCCTGTTTTAATATAAAATAGTCTAAATTAACTACCAAGCTGCTTAACTTGTGGCATACCCTTTGTCTGAATTGGGATATGCAGTTCCACAGCTTGAGAAGGACATTGTAGTACAGCTGACCCTTGAACAACCCTGGTTTAAACTGTGTGCATCCACTTATACACAGATTTTTTATAGAACTGTAAATCTGTCATCTCTTCTGTGTGATTTTAATATTTTCTTTTCTCTAGCTGACTTTATTATAAGAATACAGCGTGAAAAGCATGTAACATACAAAATATATGTTATTTGTTTATTTTACAGGTAAGACTTCTGGTCAACAGTAGGCTGATAGTAATTAAGCTCTGGGGGAGCCCAGAGTTGTGGCAGATTTTCCATTGTGGGGGAGGGTGTTGGGGCCACTAACGCCTGCATTGCACAGGGTCAACTGTATATGTGAATAGATCCTGTAAACAGCAGAGTGCCTTCTGTGCGGTTGTCCATCTCAGCATTGAGGTTGTCAGAAACCTGCTGTGAATCTGGGTCAATTTCATGAGAGGGGCAAGGGCTGTTTATAGGAGTTGTTTGTATTTTGAGTATTGGTAAGCAGAGGGTAGGGAGAAGATTGTTAGGGAATTTTAAATATGGCCTGGATATTAGAAGATACTCTGCAAGTATTATTTAGGAAGTTCAGATTAATTTGTCTTTTTATGAGAGAAAGAACCCCAAGTCTTGTAAAAAAGAAAATGTATGCTTACACTTCACAACGGACGAAATCAAAGAAAGGCATACTTTTTATTTATTTTTTGAAAAGCATATTTTTTTTTAATTTTTTTTTTTAACGTTTATTTATTTTTGAGACAGAGAGAGACAGAGCATGAATGGGGGAGGGTCAGAGAGAGAGGAAGACACAGAATCTGAAACAGGCTCCAGGCTCTGAGCTGTGAGCACAGAGCCTGACGCGGGGCTCGAACTCACGGACCGCGAGATCATGACCTGAGCCGAAGTTGGATGCTTAACCGACTGAGCCACCCAGGCGCCCCAACATATTTTTTTAATAAAACACAGATATTCAAACATATCTCATTTGTCCAGAGTTCACTTTGATTACAGTAGCTTAGATTCTTACATAAAAATGCTTCTGAAAAAGGGGTTTCCATGGGAAGGATTTTTTCAGTCTAGCAAATTTAAAGTATTAGAAATTTAGTTTCTTTATTTTCTAGAATTCTAGGACTATTAGTTTCAAGGAAGCTCTTACTTAGTGTCTCTGTCTATTAAACCAGTCATGTAAGAGTTCTTTTTGAAATGTTGATATTTAAAGTCCTGTGTGGAAAAAGGAAACTATTTCAACCTTGAGCACTGAGAGATAAAGACTTTTTCCAGTTAGACACGTAAGCGTTTGTAGCTTCAGTTTTTATAGCGTTAGTCATAGGTCAGAAGTTAGCACAAAAGGGCCGTGCCTCTTTCTAGGCATGAGATTTTGTTGTTGTTGTTGCTTGATTTGAACTCAGAAATAGGCAAGCAGAACAAATAGACAAAAAAAAAAAAAAAAAAAAAAAAAAAAAAAAAAAAAAAAAAAAGATGACCAAGAAACCCTAATCTCTGTAGTCTGTGGCTCAAAGTACCCCATGAACCTGATAAAGATCATTACATGGTCATACCGAGAAACCAGCTTTTCAGTCATTGCTGTGAGCAGTGGGGAAAAAAAAAACATTGGAAATGTCAGGGAAATACAACACAGCAGATTAAATAACAGTAAAGTTAAGACTGTTGCTTGGAATTTACATCTGGGGCCAAGACAAATTGTGGCTGGGCATATAGGGCTCATGAGATGCCCTACCAGGATAGTGCCCTTTATTTGGCTACAGAAGCCTGTATACTTGATCATCTTGGTGGAATCCCTAACACTGACAAAGTATGGCTTTGAAAAAGGCGTAAAAATATATAGATACAAAAATGTGTCTCAATAGAATGGATATGTGTCAGATTTATTTAATTCATTAATGAGGGACCAAGTAAGATGGTAAAACTGGTTTTGTGAAAGTATTGTTTTTTCTTAGTTGTGACAGCAGTTTGTAGGTTTTAAGGAGATTGTTCTTACCAGGAGATATATCCTTAAGTGTTTGGGGATCAAGGGTCATGGTGTCTGAACTTCAGTTTCAAATGATTCTGCAAAAAAGCCCCCCCCCCCAATATGAAAATGGTAAAGCAAATATGGCAAATTGGTAACAGTTGTTGAACCTAAGCATGAGTCTTCTGTTATTCATTGTTGTTTTTTATTTCTCTTCTGTTTATATATTATTATTTTAAATTTTACTGTCAAGTTAGCTAACATACAGACTAGTCATGTCTTCAGAAGTAGATTCCTTGATTATCAGTTACATATACACCCAGTGCTCATCCCAACAAGTGCCCTCCTCAATGCCCATCACCCATTTTCCTCACCCCCATCAACCCTCAGTTTGTTCTGTGTATTTAAGAGTTTCTTATGGTTTGCCTCGCTGTCTGTAACTTATCTTTCCTTCCCTTCCCCTATGGTCTTCTGTTAAGTTTCTCAAATTCCACCTATGAGTGAAATCATAGATCTTTCTTTGACTGACTTACTTCATTTAGCATAATACTCTCCAGTTTCATCCACATTGTTGCAAATGGCAAGATTTCACTCTTTTTCATCACTGAGTGGTATTCCATTTGTGTGTATGTGTGTGTGTGTGTCTATGTATGTATGTATGTGTATGTGTATGACTTCTAACAGTTATGATGGACATATGGACTCTTTCCATATTTGGCTATTGTTGAAAGCGCTGCTATAAACATTGGGTTATATATGCCCCTACAAATCAGCACTCCTGTATCCTTTGGATAAATTCCCCCTAGTGTTATTGCTGGTTCATAGGGTAATTCTATTTTTAATTTTTTGAGGAATCTCAACACTTTTTCAGAGTGGCTGCACCAGTTTGCATTCCCACCAACAGAGCCTAGAGGGTTCCCCTTTCTCCACATCCTTGCCAACATCTGTTGTTTCCTGAGTTGTTAATTTTAGCCACTCTGACTGGTGTGAGGTGGTATCTCTGTGTGATTTTAATTTATATTTCCCTGATGATAGCGATGTTAAGCATGTTTTCATGTGTCTGTTTGTCATCTAGAGGTCTTCTTTGGAAAAGTGTCTATTCATGTCTTTTGCCCATTTCTTCGTTGGATTATTTGTTTTTCAGGTGTTGAGTTTGGTAAGTTTTTTATAGATTTTTTGATACCATTTATTAGATATGTCATTTGCAAATATCTTCTCCCATTCCATTGGTTGCGTTTTAGTTTCATTGATTGTTTCTTTTGCTGTGTGTAAGCTTTTTATCTTGAGGAGGTCCCAGTAGTTCATTTTTGCTTTTATTTCCCAGCTTCCAGAAACATGTCAAATAAGAAATTGCTGTGGCTGAGGTCACAGAAGTTGCTGCCTGTTTTCTCCTGTAGGATTTTGATGGTTTTCTATCTCACATTTAGGTCTTTTATCCATTTTGAGTTTATTTTTGTGTATAGTGTAAGTGGTCCAGTTTCATTCTTCTGCATGTTGCTGTCCAGTTCTCCCAGCACCATGTGCTAAAGAGACTATTTTTTTTCCGTTTGATGCTCTTTCCTGCTTTGTCAAAGATATGTTTGTGGGTCCGTTTCTGGGTTCTCTATTCTGTTCCATTGGTCTGTGTGTCTGTTTTTGTGCCAGACTGTCTTGATGATTGCAGCTTTGTAATACAGGCTAAAGTCTGGGATTGTAACGCCTTCAGCTTTGGTTTTCTTTTTCAACATTACTTGGGCTATTTGGGGTCTTGTGTGATTCCATACAAATTTTGGGATTTGTGAATATGGAACCACGTTGATTGATTTGCGAATATTGAACGAGCCCTGGCAGCCTGGGAATGAATTCCACTTGATCATGGGGAATAACTCCTTTAATGTACTGTTGAATTTAATTTGCTAGTATCTTGTTGAGAATATTTGCATCCATGTTCATCAGGGTCTGTAATTCTCCTTTTTAGTGGGGTCTTTGTCTGGTTTTGGAATCAAGGTAATGCTGGCTTCATAGAATGAGTCTGGAAGCTTTCCTTCCATTTCTGTTTTTTGGAACAGCTTGAGAAGAATAGGTATTAACTCTGCTTTAAATTTCTGGTAGAATTTCCCTGGGAAGCCATCTGGCCCAGGACTCTTATTTGTTGAGAGATTTTTGATAACTGATTGAATTTCTTCACTGGTTATGGGTCTGTTCAAATTTTCTATGTCTTTCCTTTTGAGTTTTGGTAGTGTGTGGGTATCTAGGAATTTGTCCATTTCTTCCAGATTGTCCGGTTTGTTGGCATATAATTTTCATAGTATTCTCTAAAATACAAAATTCTGTTTGTATTTCTGTGGTGTTGGTTGTGATCTTTTTCATTCATCATTTTATCTGTTTGGGTCCTCTCTCTTTTTCTTTTTGAGAAGTCTGGCTAGGAGTTTATGAATTTTGTTTATTCTTTCAAGAAACCAGCTCTTAGGTTCACTAATCTGTTCTGCTGTTTTTTTAGATTATACATGGTTAATTTCTGCTCTAATCTTTA